TGTATAATATAAAATATGTATAATATAAAATATGTATCTATATATAGATAAATATATACTATATATAGATACATATTTTATATTATACATATTTTATATTATACAATATATTATAATGTATATATTATACACAGATATAATGTATATTTATCTTACATATTTATCTATATATAGACATATATTTATCTGTCTATATATAGATACATATTTATATAAATATATGAAGATATATTTATATATAATATATATTATGTATTATACATATTATATATTATTTATATATGTGTATGGAGATATATTATTTTATATATCTGTATAATATATAGATATGTATTTATGACACCCTACACAGGCATGGGAGCATCCTTGGGAAAGGGACTTAAAAGCAGTGAATCTCAGCTAAAATCAAGTGAGTGCCCTGACTCTGTCTCCAATAAAAAGATTTATTTTTTGTGCTCCCACTGGAAAGTGGAGAAAATGTTATGTTTGTTGAAACATGTTTACATTCCAATAAAATACATATATTATTTATGCACATATCTATCTATATATAGATATATATTTATATATAGATAAATATCAACATATATAGATATATAGATAACATAATCTAATATATAGATACATATATACATAGATTATATGTTATCTATATATATCATATGTCTATATATATTTAGATATATGTTAGATCTTTAGATATATAGATATATATTATATATTATATTATATTATATATATAATATATATATGTCCATACACACACATCCATGCACACACACACACACACACACACACAATTATGCTTAGTTTCTTATTTAGACCTAACCAATAAGTTGTTTTTTAGTGACAAAAGTCTGTCTATAAGATTTAAATCTTGACTACATGAGTTTGGATGTCTCTGTTCAACATAGTGATTAAATTAATCGACTAATTTTGGTAAAAAATGGTTAATTTGAGATCAACAATTGCTCTGAACCCTCACTTGATTTTCACTCTCCTCACTCTGTGAACCTACTAGTTGTTTGAATAAATTATTCCCATTAACCCAAATAATTATTTTGAAATAATTATTCAAGTTCTTCAAATATAAGGCTTTGTAACACAGAGATGAGTCCTATGTATTAGCATATTTTAAAGCAAGACAAAATAAATTTTTTATTTCAATCCACTAAATTGTTTTATACTTAAATTACAATCACTCTTTCAATCTAACGTAAATTAAATTATGTTTGGCTGTAACTCTTAAATTTCTAGTTATTTAAAAGCATGCTTTTTGGTTAAGGTTGTTAGCATTAACCACATTTGGTAAAGTACTGCTTGGCTTGTCTAGTTGTGAAACAGTTAGAATTTGCAATTGATATAGTCATTTTGATTTGTGCTATTGTTGCCTATTTATTTTTTACACCTCACAGTACTTAAAGTTATCACTGGATATCAGAAATAAAAAAGACCTTGTACATAAATTAGTATTACCAAATTTATTTTCTTGTAAACTATATTTTGGGAAGATTATGAAAATCGACTTTTAATCTAGTCATGAATGTTGCCATGTTTATGAGAATAGTCTAAAATCATTCAAATCATATAATAACTTGGAAAATACATGCCCCCACACCCTGCATATATCACACACGGTGAAAGTGTGGTTCTGCACAGATAACCAGCTAAGTATAACAGCATGGTTTTCTGTTTTGAAGATGAGGAACTTCAAGATATACAAGTGGAAGGAGAGCCCAAAGAGAAGGAGGAAGAAGAGGAAGCGAAGGAAGAGAAGCAAGAGAGAAGGAAGGCAAACGAAGAGGAAGTTGAAGAGGAAGATGAGCAGGACATCATGAAAGTCCTGGGCAATTTGGTGGTGGCCATGTTCATCAAGTACTGGATCTACGTCTGCGGAGGCATGTTCTTCTTTGTCAGCTTCGAGGGTAAAATCGTAATGTACAAAATCATCTACATGGTGCTGTTCCTGTTCTGTGTGGCCCTGTATCAGGTAGGTACACAGTTGTTCATTTTAATTCTCACATCTGTACCAGGTGTATACATGAGATACCTTTGCAGAGGTTCTAAATCACTAGACTCTCATGAACATAGGTCAAGTGAGTGGCAAGATGCAAACATTATATCCCAAGAATCCTAAAATGGGAAATGACTGTCTTCAACTTATTTACTATTTCAAAATTTTAGGTTTGGGTACAGCGGATCATGCCTGTAATTTCAGCACTTTAGGAGGTTAAGGCAGGAGGACTGCTTGAGGCCATGAGTTCCAAACCAACCGGGTCAATATACTGAAACCTTGTAGCAACAAAAAATTTTCTTAAATTAAAAAATTAGCCAGATGTGGTAGCACGTACCTATAGTCCTAGCTTCTTGGTAGGCTGAGGCAGGAGGATCACTTGATCCCAGGAGGTCAAGGTTGCTATGAGCTATGCTAGTACCACTTCACTCCAGTTGGGCAACAGATTAAGATGCCACTTCTAAAAATAGCAAAAATAAAAATTTTAGGTTGTTGAAAAATCAGGAAAAAGTTCATACATAAGTTTTCCAAAAATTATTAACCAAAAAAATCTGTAAAATAGAATTACATTTCTTTCTTTCCTTTCTCTTTCTTTCTTTTTTTCTTTGTCTTTTTTTTGTTGTTGTTCGTTTGTTTGTTTGTTTTTTGAGACAGTATCTTTCTCCATCCCTTAGGCTGGAGTGCAGTGGCATGATCTCTGCTGATTGCTCTCAGCAACCTAGGCCTCCCAGGTTCAAGTGATGCTCATGCCTCAGCTCCTGAGTAGCTGGGATTCCAAGCATGCACCAACATCTCCAGCTAATGTTTGTATTCTTAGTAGAGACAAGGTTTCACCATGTTGGCCGTGCTGGTTTTGAACTTCTGGCCTTAAGTGATCTGCCCACCTTGGCCTCCCAAAGTTCTGGGATTACACGCAGGAGCCACTACACCTGGCCTGTAAAATTGAATTATGTTTTAAAACAGTAATTTAAAAGCTAGATCATCTGAAATAGTGGAGTATTCCTAGGTATACTTTTGTACTTCAGGCTTTGGGGTCAGAAAATGATATGTGTGTGTGCGTGTGCCTGCATATGTATACACATATATATGTACAGTGCATTGACTGCTTTCATATTTCATTACTTAAAAGGATTTCATTCATTAAAATAATTTAGCATATGAAATACATTAAAATGAGTTAGCTCTCCACAGACTCACTTTCAACTGATGATAAGAGAATCCAATAATAGAAACACATAGAACAGTAAATTATCTTGCAGGTAGCCAACAAAACAAGTAAAGGAACTACAGTAAACAAGAGTATGTCACATGTCAAGGTAAAAACTTCAAAAGAAATCAGTGAACTTTTGAATACTCTTAAAAATTCAGGATGATGGCTGGGCACGGTGGCTCACGCCTGTAATCCCAGCACTTTGGGAGGCCAAGGTGGGCGGATCATGAGGTCAAGAGATCAAGACCATCCTCGCCAACATGATGAAACCCCGTCTCTACTAAAAAAATACAAAAATTAGCTGGGCGTGGTGATGCACGCCTGTAGTCCCAGCTGCTTGGGAGGCTGAGGCAGGAGAATTGCTTGAACCCAGGAGGCAGAGGTTGCAGTGAGCTGAGATCACGCCACTGCACTCCAGCCTGGTACCTGGCAACAGAGTGAGACTCTGTCTCAAAAAAAAAAAAGAAAATTCAGGGTGGTGTTCTCTAATGAATATCCACAGCTTATGGTCAAATGAGATGTCTTTCTTCTGTGGTTGTTTCACACTTTCATTCATACAATATTGCTTTCAATTTCAAATGGATGTGGTTTTCTCTGAGTAATGATAACCACAATGACAGCAGCACCTACCCTACTGTTCCTTGAGTGCCTTCTATGGGCCAGATAGCTAGCAGGAACCTGTAAATACTATCTATTTCATCCTCGTAGCAACCCTGCAAAATAGGCGCTTATGGAGAAGCTCAGGAAGGCTCACCCACTTCTCCAAAGACACAGTTAGCAACCATGCATAGAATTGGGGTTCTAACCCAGAACCACTCCAATCTGTTAGGCATGGAATATTAAAAACCAGACATGAAATAGACTTTATTTTCAGACATTTGTAGATGCAATCACTTGTCTTAATTGAATGAACCAAATATTTTTGTGAGTTTTTCTATAAGTAATTTTTTTTCTCATTTGTTTTTTTCAATATCTGATTTGCAGGTGCATTATGAATGGTGGAGGAAAATTCTAAAATATTTTTGGATGTCAGTGGTTATTTACACTATGCTGGTGCTTATCTTTATATACACATATCAATTTGAAAACTTCCCAGGCCTGTGGCAAAATATGACTGGATTAAAAAAAGAAAAGTAAGTAATTTTGAGTTGAAAATGATGAACAAGGTGAAGACTTGAATGCATATTGTTCAAAACATCTTTAAGGAAGATTTTAGTAAAGCATGATGTCATCAAGGTCTATTAAGTTCCTAAAGAACAAAATTAAAACTTAGTCATTCTGTGTTACATTTACTTAGCCCGTAGGAACATGTAGGCACCCCACGAATTTTCAGCCCCATTTGAGTGAAATAATGTTTTCTAATGTTAGTTTCATGTGAAACAACACACCTAGCACTTAGCCACGCTTTCTGCTCTCCAAATTGGAGCTCAGTTCTTTAGTTAATAAGTAAGTTCATGCACTTATAACATAAAGCAGCAGCCTTTGCTCATTTATGTTGCCAGGTGCTTAGGTTCTAAGGAGTGTTTAGTGCCATAAAGAAATAAATTTCTCTAAGTGCTAATAGACTTGTGATGATAAGATGGTTTTTCCTGTGGATGTGGTAGATAGCTCCCTATCCTTTTCTAATTTGCTTCTGTAAACTTCTGAAATTAGTTTGGAAATCCAGCCAGCATTGGGTTTTGAGCTGAATATATCAAAGTGGCTGAGAGAAGGATTTAGAAGGGAAGGATAACTGAATAACTAGACCAACACAACTGAAGTGTCTATGCAATAATCATTTATTAAATGCTGGCCATGTGCTGACACTGTTTTGTGTCTGGGATATGACAGGTAACAAGACAGACAAAAATCTAAGCCCTGTAGATCTTAAATTCTAGCAGAGGAGACAAACACGAAAACTACATAGTGCAAAATGTACTACAATTTGTGACAGGTCTGTGACAGAAACAAACAGCAGGCTGAGGCAATGAATAAGGGGGAACTTTAAATGAGTGATCGGAATGGGCTTCACTGAGGAGCTGGTTTAAACTCCAGCTGAAGCATAAGAAGAAGTTTATCTTAGGAAAAGCATGTGAGTTGGAGGCCTGGGTGTAGAGGGCATTTCAGACGGAGGGAACAGCACATGCAAAGGCGCTGAGGCAAGTCAGTTTGGCACAGTGCATAAAAGAAACTGAAGAAAGGGGGTGAGTGGACAGAGAAGAGGGGAGAATTCAGGCAGGCAGCTGGAATGTGCATGGCTCGTAGGTAGCATGATTTTGTTTTATTTTTGGTGGAATTTTCCAATCTTTAAAATTGACTAGCTGAGAAAAAGCAATGTGTGGGCGTAGAAACAATGAGACAAGTTAGTAGGCACCAGCAGTGGTCCTGTGAGAAATGATGGCAGCTTCCCCTAGATTGAGTGGGGGCAGAGATGGATAAGAGGAGTTGGCGATTCAGGAGATGCATAGGATGCTGAAGGACATGTAGACGAATGAGATATGAAAGAAAAGAACATAGGAGACGTCTGACTTCTCAATTGCACAGGGTAGACAGTTGTACCATTTATTGGTCCAGGGATACTAGAATGGGGAGAGGGATGTGGAGGACAGCTTTGCTAAGAAAAATAGGAAAATCAAGAATACTATTTTGGAAGCACTAAATATGAAATAACTGTGAAACAACTGGTTTCCAACAGCAATTTGGGCATGAGACTCTTACAGGAGGAGGCTGTGCTGTAGATGTGCTTTGAGTCCTCAATGTAAGGATGATGTATAAAGAGGTGAGATTACCTAGGGGGAAAGCACAGCTGGAAGATCAAAACTGAGTCCTGGGGATATTTCAGCCTCTAGAGATCCAATAGAAAAGGAGGAGATCATGGAGGAACAAGAAACCGTGATAGTGTGATGGCGTCAAGGCCACGTGATCTTCAAGGAGGACCAGAATTCAATTAAATAAAGCTAGAGAAGTAGCCTTTGAATTTGGCAATGTCAAGGTTTTTATTGACCATTGTTAAAGTAGGTTAGTTGGCTTGATGGAAACGAAAGCTGTATTGCACCCCATGGGAGAGAGGGATGCAATAAACGATACAGCTGGCAGGAGTGTAAGACTGTGATGTAATTTATCACAAAGAGTCTATGACTTCATTGCTTAAGAGAGCTTCCTGCTTTTTATCGTGTTTTGTTTTGCAGGCTCGAGGATCTTGGCTTAAAGCAGTTTACTGTGGCTGAACTATTCACTCGCATATTCATCCCAACCTCCTTTCTGCTGGTGTGCATTTTACACCTGCACTATTTCCATGACCAGTTCCTTGAACTCACAGACCTCAAGTCCATTCCCAGCAAAGAAGACAACACCATCTACAGGTGAGCCACTGAAAGAAACACAGACTTCTTGTTAACAGGAAGGCAGTCTGTTTAGGTTGGTCACCTTGCAGGAAGCCAGCAATCTAAGAGTTTCAGCCTTGAATTTTCCATGAGTATCAACTTGTGAGAAAAAGAGGAAGACATGTGGAAGAGTCTATGACATGTTCTGAAACAATGGGTAGTGACTTATGACTGGTTAATGTAAAGTGATCTTGATAGTCCTATGACACATTCAGAGTAGCTGTGGAGAGTAAAATATTTTAGAATTGATATGTGTCTGGGCTGGTTATATATATTTTTGGAACATTTACAGAATCTGGCTAATTCAGACGATTTTTCCATTATGCCGACCACAGGTACAGAAGTCTTATGAAAGCATAGCAAAAGATGATGGGCAGAGTTTTCCCTTCCATTTTGGAAATGAGAAACTTTGGCTAAAAGGACAGAATCTGCAGTTGACTAGTAACTACAATCATATTTAAGAAGAGAGCATGATGACAATATCTTCTTTTAGCAGCTTATTGTTGTTTTCTCCTCCTCAATAAATATAAATTATTTGCAAATAACAGATGGGATAGTAATTTTCCTGCTCGTATTTGTTCAAACCATGATGGGGTATCACAAATCCTTCACTGTGTTCCACCATGGGGAGATCCCAAGCATTCTTCTAGTGATTGCTGACAATGGTCTTCCTCTCCGCCTCATGTTTAGCCTATGATTCAGTCATTGGAAAAACACTTGTTAAGCAGCTAAGGGAGCAAAGGGCTGTACTGAGAGAAGCACAGAGGCCACGGATGAAAACTCCCCTTAATTATTTGACTTTAAGGTAAAGAAATGAAGATATCAATAGAAGATGAAGTAAGAGTTCTTCATATGTATTTCATAAAATGCTAAATTTTCAATGTTCTGCTGTGCAGGAACTAGAGTTACAGATAGACCTGAACACTTATTTAATAATGAAAAACATTGTAGAATCTGCTGTTTATGATCAGCAGATTCACTTTCCTTATTGAGTTGTGTTTAGCCTAAGATTATATTTAGTTTTCATTCTGATACTTCAGATGACTCCTAACCCACGGAACCAAGAGATATCAATCAGTCATGACTTGTTACACTATCTAGCCACCATGAAAAATCAGGCTCTGCTAAAACCTCTCTGCTCCCAAGACCCCAGCAGGGAGGAGGGCATGGATGGGGTCAATGCCCATCTTACCCTCTTCATATATGTACTCATACTTCCTTCAGTGATGATCAAACATTAGGAAAAATAAAGTAGTTATTAGAAGTGTGGGACCTCTAGGAGATATTATTCATAGAGAAACTTGATGGCAGTGAAAATCACCCCCAGTTTAAAAGTTTCCAAAGATAGTGCCTGCACATAAAAGTGAGAATTGTCAATAATCAGAAAAAGGTTTTTTAAAATCATTCTTTTGACATTGCTTGTGATGTGTGTGGATAAAACTAGTATTCGATATTGAATTCTGACCATGTAACATGTTTTAATTTACTATAAGCCCTCACCATTCTTTTAAAGAGTCCTAGTCAATAATCACAAAATCTTTTAGTTGACCAAGCCAATTTGTGTGTCTGTGAAGGAGTTGTAATTATTAAGCATTGCTAATAAAACCTTTTTTTAAGTTTTTTTTTTTATTTCAAAGGCCATTTCTTCTCTTGCCTATTCATTTTTTTTCTCACTAAAAGTACCTCCAAGTATGTCCAGCATGCAGGAGGCTTTTTCTTGCCATTTTTCTTAATGTGGATGTATCTGAGTCTTCTGTCATGTTATCAGACAGAGATATAATTCACCATCTATCCAAAAAAGTAGAAACATTCAGGGCCACACTTTTGTAGAAGATAAATTGGCTCAGCAAAGATTTTACCAGCCTGCAGACTCCCAGGTTTTGGGCCTAGCTTATGTGGAAACTGAGTTTGTCCCACAGAATTCCCTTCAAGCAGGTAGAGCAGTGTTTAGCCTATGTAGGCTCTGAGAAGGACTGCAGCCCACGTCAAGATGTGTGTTCTCTGTCTCTTCAGCTGCCTCTTCACAGCCCTTACCCTAAACCCCATGGCAGAGAAGAAAGATCTAACTGTAGCGATATGAGTCCTGACTTGTCTTTCTTACAGCTGTGGCTTAACCCTAAGCACTCCCTTAACAGTGAATTTTCCAAGCAAATGTAAAGGGCGAGGAAAGAGTGTGTAATGCCAACTCTCTGAAAAGTTTAAGCATATGGGAATTCATTTTTAGTTCTATAAAGAAAAGTTTTCTAGAACCTTAGCAAATTTGAAGAACTCACTCAAATTTGGTATTTCAGAATTTTATCCAACAGTTTGATATAAAGTCCCCAAATTTGAACTTTGAACATTATATGTATCATCTTTTTAGCAACTCATTCTCATGGTAGTATTTTCCTTACTCATAATTTTCACGTCACAGTAGTTTTTTGTTCCTGTAGTCCTAATACAATGGCCATATTAAAATCAAAATGATGAAGATAAGGAATATTTTGAGAGTCAGAATTGACTGCCAGGATTTGCTTTCTCTGCTCCTGCCTCCTAAACGGATGCTTAGAAGAAATGGCCCACAGATTGGGAATAGCTGATTGGCTGTGTTCGTTAAGCTGATTTCCACGCTATTGTCTCTGGGAATATGCATCTGTTCTTTTCCTATTTTGTCACTTTTTTGGGTGTATGTGCTTGTGTACACAGATATAGGCACATGTCACTTGTGTATGAAGCAGAATTTATTATGTTTAGTCTTACAGAATTTACAAAGTTAGCCTTATGAAAATATAATAATATAGAAAAAATTATTATTTCTAAGTAGGTAATCTCAGGAATATTATTTCATCTATATATTGATAGAAATTCATATTATAATGTATAACATGCTTATTATAAATATGTAATTAGCAATGCTGTACAAAGGACTATTTAAATATTAATTTCTTTTATATCTCTTTAATTTGTGCATGGTTTGTTTAAAAAGTATTATTATGCCTAGAGAAATAAAATGACTTTTTTAAACTATAGTTTTAGGAAAATCTTAGAAACAGCATGCTGAATATGGCCACTGAGTAACATTTAAAAAAAAAAAATTCTGGGATAGGAGCAAAAATTAATTTTTAAATTATATTTTATATATACCTTGAGGCCAGGCACAGTGGCTCACGCCTGTAATCCCAGCACTTTGAGAGGCCAAGGAGGGCGGATCACCTGTGATTAGGAGTTTGAAACCAACCTTTCCAACATGGTAAAACCCCATCTCTACTAAATATACAAAAATTAGCCAGGTATGGTGGCATATACCTGTAATCCCAGCTACTTGGAAGGCTGAGGCAGGAGAATCACTTGAACCCAGAAGGCAGAAGCTGCAGTGAGCTGAAGATCTCATCACTGCACTCCAGCCTGGGTGACAGAGCAAGACTTTGTCTCAAAAAAATGTATCTTAAAAAATTTAAACATTACAGATTTGTAATAAAGTATGTGAGATGGGGAGGGATGAGAAGAATAGAGAGGCTTTTTATCTTCAGGCATTCTTCCTGAACATGTCTGATTAAATTTTGCTACTGAATCTTGCTGTCTAGACTCTTCTTCAAGGCATGAAGCCTGTGTGGGTGGCTACACCCTATGCTAGGAAGCTTAAGGAAGTCCACTTTGTTCATCTCTGTCTAACAATCTCCTCTCTCTCTCTCTCCAACCTGTCTCCTCATTGCATCCCTGTGCTTCCGTCTGCCACCTCGTAGCCATGCCAAAGTCAATGGTCGCGTATATCTAATAATAAATAGGTGGGTACTTCAATGTTTTCTCTCTTATTTTTGTTTAAAGCTGATTCTTGCTGTGTTGAACTCTTAACTGCTTTATACATGAAAAATCGTGTCATCAGATAGTGGACAGTGGTCTTCAGGTATGCTCCTGGATGTATTTGCAAACCAAACCATTTGGTGTCTATACCGAATGGTGACGCCAAGTGGATGTGTTGAGGGTCTTCAGCTGGTGCTCAGCCTTTGGCCTTGATTCAAATTATGTGCTGTTCATTCTGTTCTTTGGTAGAATTAGTGCAAAGGCTTGCCTGAGAACTTCTCTCCCTCTTGAACAAATAATTGAGAGCTCAGCTCAAGAACCACCTCCTCCACAAACCCTCCCATAAATGCCGACATTCCTGCTAAGAGTAATCTGCCTTCCCTCCGAATCCCTGTAGCACTTGATCACTGATGCTGTCCTGACACTTGCCTTCCAGTCCTCTGTCTGATCTCCTGCCTGCTTGACTTATCTGCCTTGCTAGAGTAGGGGCATAACCTCCTCAGATCTGGACTCCCTCTATGATTCACCAGGATGTCCCCATGTCACCTGCCCCAGGGCCTAACCCATGAAGTGATATTCAATAGCTATTTCCTAAATGAAATGAAAGTAGTCACAATATATGGTTTTAAAAACATGACTTTCTTCAAGTATATCTCTACCTGAAAGATCACCACATTATTGAAGAGGGATATTTTACATCACCAGGTTTCATATGTTTGCACAGCACAAAAGGCACCGAGGTGGCACTGAGACATGGACTTACTCTGAGATGCATATCACCTTGCCAAGGAGATAAAATATAGAAAGTCCACACAAAATAAAAAGCAAGCTTTGGTAAATGTTAGACAATGGGTTATCCTCCAGAGTTATCCTTTGGGATCTAACTTACTAAAACTATTTTACTTTACTGAGTAGGTGAATTAAAATATTCACTCTTGTAACTACATGTCATAAATAAAGCTAGTAATTTTATTAAGAGAAATGTATCTTGCCATAATTCCAATTAACAAAATAATTATTGAAAAGATTTGTTGGTTTTTTACCCCATTCACTTTTCTTATAGGTAAAATCCTAAGACAGACAACCCAATCACAAACCCTAAGAGGCAGAACTTCTAACAAAGTGTGAAAGGCATCAAGAGTCACTGTGTAGATTGCTGAGGGAGGAGGAATGAACGGGGACTGTCAGCTTTCTTAGGG